TATATATTTTTAAATGAAGGTCTAATACTGCTACATACTCATAGGGCTGTTTTCACTTAGTGCCTGGAGTACAGTAAACCCAGAAGTGATATTTATAGCCTGCTTATCATAGTGCCCAAAGGGCAGAGAGTTAGCACAATCCCTTCTGCAGGAAGAGTTCTTGCAGCTTCCATCTTCTGCCCACTGGCCTCGCCTACTGGCAGTGCTTGGTTTTCGCTTCTTTTCCAAAACCCCTAGCCCTCTGGAGAAGAAAACCAATAGGCCATTATTTGAGCTAAAATCCACTTAAGCAAACATATTTACTAGAACACATGGGTATTTCTCTCTTTTTAAAATTTTCAATTACAATTGACATTCAACATTATTTTATTTTTTTTAATAATTCTTTACTGTTGCCCTGGCCGGTTTGGCTCATTGGATAAAGTGTCCGCCTGCGGACTGAAGGGTCCGGGGTTCAATTCCGGTCAAGGGCACATGCCCGGGTTGTGGGCTTGGTCCCCAGTAGGGGACGTGCAAGAGTCAGCCAATCAATGATTCTCTCTCATTGATGTTTGTCTCTCTCCCCCACTTCCTCTCTGAAATCAATAAAAATATATTTAAAAATAAAATAACATAAAAATTATGAATTCTGTCCACTAAAAAAGTATAGAAAAAAATTACCAACCATTTAGCAATGAGTATGGTCTCCAAACATGATTAACTCTCAAAGAGATGAGGGCTCTTCAGAGAAATGGCTGATTCCAGATATATAATAAGAGAGGAATATGCTAATTAGCCATCATGTCCTGAGGCGTAAAGACCAAGGGCATCACTACCAGATCACCACGGATTAGCAGGAGGGTGGGCCAGCAAGATACAAGCAGGCTGCGGAGAGCTACAGAAGGGGGCAGGGCAGCAAGCTATGAGGGGGGGGAGGGGAGAGCTACAGGAGGGCGGAGCAACAAGCTATGAGGGGAGCCAGGGGAGGGGAGGGCGGGGGAGAGCTACAGGAGAGCAGGACAGTGGGCGGAAAGCTACAGATCCGTAGGCTGACACTCTATCCCCTGAGCCAAACTGCTCAGGGCAATACCATGGTCTTGATAAAAGAATTCAGCCAACGTGAAGAGGCTCCACTAGCCAAATATGGGAAAGCTTAAGTATCAATAGTTAATAACCACAATGAATTAATATATTAATGGATTTATAAACAGTGATATAAAAAAACAACAAACTAATTGGTCACTATTATGGAATGCTATTAAACCATTTTGTTATTTTGAAAACCAATTTTAAAAAATTAAGAATAAAAATTTCTTTTTCTATACAAATTATATTTCTAAGTAATCATATA